TGGAATCCCTGTTAGCTTTAGAGGTTAGAAATTTAAGTCAGTAAGCATTTAAATGCCCACTATATGCCAGGCACTTTGCTAGGTCATATGGTTACAAATACAAAGAAAAATGGCACCAACTCTCAAGAAACTTACATTGTTTTGGGGAGGGTAGAAGCAAACTTGTCAGTATACAAAATACATATAGATGAGTTAATTTCTTAGGGGATGGTCCAGGTCTACTAGGAAGAGCATTTTGTTAACAATAGGACAGGGATTCCAGAGAGCACAGTAGAAGGTAGGAAAGAGTGAGATAGGAGCAGAGGAGAGATCAGGCATGGATAGCTCTGAAGGAGCAGGGAATGGTGGCCAGAGAAGGGAAGTTAACTGATCTAGACAGCCTCCAAGTCAGAAGTTCAAAATTACTAACTGGAACAATAGAGTAGTAGATTGCCATGTCTTTCACAGGTAACAAATGTAATGCTGATTTAATTAGGTTTCTCTGAGAAAGAAATGGAAAGTATGTATGGACCTGCTTGATGGTCAAGACAGGAATCGGTGGAGTCCTAGGGCCAGGCTAATTATACAAGGATAGGAGGCCTGTTTGAGGTACACACCCTCAGGTAGCATTTACTTCAATGTTAAAGTGATTATCTTCCCGCAGGGAGAAGGCAGTAAGGAGCTGTTATCAGGTAGGTCTTTTGGAAAAGGTGTAGTGTGGAGTGAGGGGCATGACAAATAAATATATAGTCCCTACTCATATAAATAAGATCTTAATGAAGTCCTGACAACAGGTTAGTTAAAGAGGTGTCCTTATCATTCAGTTGTTTCAGTTGTGTTCAATTCTCCATGATCCTATTTTGGGTTTTCTTGGTAAAGATACTGGAGTAGTTTGCCATTTCCTTCTCTGGAAACTGAGGCAAACAGGGTCATACAACTAGTAAGTGTCTGAGGCCAGATTGGAACTCAGGAAGATGAGTCCAGAACTCTATCCACTCTGTTGCCTACCTGCCTATAGTTATAAAAGTACTACATGGAAATATTGGTACCTGATTTGGATCTTAACAGATGAGAAGGCTTCTAATAAGGGAGAGGAAGGACTTGTTCAAGATGTGAGACATAACAGAAACAAAGAAGGTAGGCAGCTTGGTTGGGCTGAGGAATAGAGTATGTGAAGGCGAATAATATAAAATAAGGTTGGTGAAGTAGGTTAGAGTCATAACAGAGGAAGCTTTCAATTCTAGCTGTGGTGTGAGGGAAGGATTAGAAAGGGGACAAACTAGACCTACAAAGAACTATTAAGAGACTTACAGTGGTCCAGGCAAGAGGTAATGAGGTTGTGAACCTTAAATGAAGTGTTACTGGTTGAGGAAAGATTTCATAAACAGAATCAACAGTACTTAACAATTGATTGACTATGCAGAGAGTGAGGGAAGAAGAGGAAGAAGTCAAGAAAGTCTCCAAAGGTTCAAGTCTTGGAGAATGATGGCACCACCAAGAGAAACAGGGAAGTTAAAGAATCTCAACGATGGCAAAAACCTCCGAGGCCATCTAGTCTAACACCTACATAAAGAATCAAAATGGATTATATTTCTCTGGCTTTTTCTCTTTCCTCTCTCTCCTACATATATTTACATATATCTGTATCTAATGCATGGCAATGGATTCATCATCTCATTAATATGGCTACTTCCTTCAATGAGATACAGATTATAATTCTTCATGCCTTCTCTTCCTATGAAATTTCTGTCCATCAGAACACCAGAGCCTTCTCTCTTCCTGCTAGAACCAGCTCAATGTGCATCTATACCACTTATCCAAGATATATATAGTAATAGACTAACATAGTGGGCCGCTCATGAAATCCTATGTCATAATATGGACAATGTATTTTTCATCCATTTAGTTGTTATTGTGTGGATTGTCAAGTCCATCTCTTGAGGAGTTCTGGACCTCAGAAGGCTTTTAAGTGTTCTATGGCTTGCCATAATTAGCACAATGTCAGCTACAAATAGGAACATCTTAATATGCAAATACTAAGGTCATACATGATATTTAGTAAACAATCACAAAGAACTTTTGGTTCAGTTATCCCCTGATTATCATTATCAAACAAAACATAAAACAGGGAAATGAAATGAATGTACATTAAAGGTAATCCTATGATGGAGAGTATCTAACACAGTCTACATGGAAGAGTGATTCCTTATAGGTGGTATTCAGATAAATAAGATCTTATTTTGTTGTTTTTCTTCTTTTCCTTTGGTTAGGATCTATAATTTCAGGAACTAACTCCTAGAGGGGAAACTTCTCCTATCAATACAAATCTATAGCTGTTCTGCCATTTATGGTCATAGGGAGTTGCCAGGGGGCACTGAGAAGTTAAATGACTTATCTAGGGTCACCCAGCCAGTATGTGTCAGAAGCATATACTTCTTGACTTGAATCTAGGTCCCCTTGGCCTTAGGCCAGATCTCTATCCCTTATGTGAGGCTGACTATCATTGTTAAAGTTACATATCTATACTATTAGTATGTAATGGAATAATATATATAATAATATTAGTATATAACATCTTTCATTAAGTCTTATTTTGATTCCTCATCAAGTTATGGAGGAAACCTTAGGTTCTGACAGGCTGTGCTAGGCTAGTATTGGTTCTGGCAGGAAATGATGTATTAGTAATCGGTGTTGTTCAAGAAATATCATAGTCAAATGCAGAAAGGCTTGAAGACCAAACAGTGATTCATCTTCAGCCACATTCACACTAAAAGATTATCTACCAAGTTAAAAAGACATAATACTTTGCATCCCTAGACAATATGCATGCTGACAAAACTAGAGATCCTTATGGTATATATATGTGTGTGTGTAGACAAATCATTTGGAATTTATTGTTTTATTCTTTATTTTTGTTTATGGTTATCACATTTCCAATTTTTAAAATGTAAACAAGAAAGTTAGGTGGGTACATTTTAAAGAAAAAAATGATGAGCTCAATCCTGGTTGAGTTAAAATTTCAGTAAGCCAACTATATGAAGATAAGTATAATAATAATAGCTAACTTATTGTTTTAAAATTCACGATGTGCTTTACATATATTATTATCATCTCATTTGGTCATGACAACCCCATAAATAGGTACCACTATTATTCTCATTTTGTAGATGAGGAACCTGAGGTTGAAAAGGTTAAGTGGCTTGCCAAGGTCACATACATAGTATGTGTCTGACGCAGGATTTGAATTCAAGTTTTCTTGACTCCAAGCCTAATATTCTATATACTATGCCATCTAGCTGTCCAATGTTCCACAACCCATTGAAAATGCATACCTGGAGCTTTGGGACTAGATTAGAGCTGCTTTGGATGAATGGAAGTTCTCTGCATTAAGAAGATGATGTCATAAAAATAGATAAAATCTCTAAAGGAGAAAATGTAGAGAAAGAAGAGAAGGGAACCTAGAATAGAGCCTTGGAAGGCATTATACTTAGCATTTCTCTTTGTAATGGCTATCTAAAAGGGTCGCTTAGCTAGCTAGGAGAGAACCAGGAGAAAGCAGTTTCATAGAAAACAAAGGAAGGAGGTTGAGGGGAAGTAGTCAAAGAGGAAAATTTCTGAGCCAAAGATCTTGGAAGTGAAAGTTATGAGAGATGGTAACATTCAGGTTTGAAATTCAGTGGTGGAAAAATAAGGATCTGGTGAACTGTCAACAGAGAACAATGAGTTTGCAGAAACTTTCTCCTCGTGCAATGAGGCAGCATGAGAGGTCATAGACAGCACAGAAGAGGATGATGAGATATCAACGATCATAAATGTGATGTCCTTAGAAAGAAGCCAGGTTCCAGTTAGTCTGAGGAGGTAGAAATGTATAGGGAAGAGAAAATCAAGAGTGTGAACAGGTTGTAGTATATGATTGTGATGGAATATTATTGTGCTATAAGAAATGACAAGCAGGATGATTTCAGAAAAACCTGGAAAGACTTACATGAACTGATGCAATGTGAAGTGAACAAAACCAGGAGAATGTTGTATACAATAACAGTAATATTCTATAATGAAGAGCTGTGAATGAATTAGCTATTCTCAGCAATGATCCAAGACAATCTCAAAGGACTCCTGATGAAAGTGGATGGTATCTACTTCCAGAAAAAGAACTGATATTGTCAGAATGAAGATTGAAGCATACTATTTTTCACTTTATTTTTTTCATTAATTTTTTTGTTTGAGTCTTCTTGTACAAAATTACTAATATGGAAATGTTTTACATGATTGCACGTGAATAACCTATATTAGATTGCTAACCATCTCAGGGAGGAGGAATACAGTAGGGAGGGAGGAAGAGATTTGGAACTCAAAACTTTTTTAAAAATGTTTAAAATTATCTTAACATATAATTGAAGGAAAATGAAATATTACTTTAAAAAAATATAATGGAGCAGGGTTCCACAACAATCAGAGAAAAATGGCATTTGATGAGGAATAGGAATGACATGATATAGATTGGGTAGGGACAGCAAGAAAAAAAAATTGTGTCTAGAGAAACATCACAGAGATTAGAGGAACAAGAAATTAGATTAGTCAGGGGATATAACCAACCACAGGGCTGGGAAAATCCAGAATAGCTAGAGTCCTAGATGGTTTCTAGTGGTTTTGTTATCTATTCAGATCTATTGGCTTTCTCCCCAGAGATATGACCGAACTGATTCTTGTCCCTCATGTAAACTTCACTATACAGTCCCAGAAAGCTAAAAAATATACAGAATTCTAGAAGAATCTCCTCCTATTCATTAGGAACTCATAAATGAAAGGGATGGGCAATATATATTAGGCTACCATGTTGGTACTGAAACTACCCATCCCCTCAGTTTTTCTTTAATTGGTAAATTGATTTAAAAAAACACAAGAAGACATTTAATGGCAGATGAAACATGGTGGATGAAACAGGTCACTGATTGACAGGGCACCCTAAAAGATATTGACTGCTATGACTAACTCCAAATGTTTTTGTCTTAATATTTCAGCTTGCCAAGATGATCTTGCCAGAAGATGAAAACTTTCTCCTGCTCTTTCGCCGAGAAACCCCCTTGGATAACAGTGTGGAGTTTATGCAAGTAGGTAGCTTTTTTTTCCCATGCCAAACCCTGCCAAAATACGCTCACACAAAGCTTCAGATTGTATGGGGGTAGGGGCTGGGGTGAGAGAGGGAAGCAAATACCCCAATTGCGACTATCTATGTGACTGTTTTAATTTTGAGAGACAGCAAGACATCATGTAAAGAGTATTGGACTTAGAGCCAAATCTTTCTGACTTAGTAAGCCTGTGGCTCTGAAAGTCATTTATTTAACCTCCCTGAAACTCACTTGCATCACTGGTTAAATGGGGATATTAATACCTCAGTACCTTCTTCACAGAATTAATGTAGGATTAATGGATTTAAGCACCACACAATTTTTAAAGCTCTGTATAAGGTGTCCCAAAAGTCTTAGTGCAGCTTAAAGCTGCACTAAGACTTTTGGGACATGCTGTTTAATCCTTAACTATCATTTTTTAATATCTTCAAACTGATGACATTCGAAGAGAAAACAGAATCATATTGGCTGGTCACATTTAAGCATCATTCCTCTTTAAATCAGTCAGTCAATAAATATTTATTAAATGCCTACTATGCGCCAGGCACTAAATCATTTCTGAATTCCATTTTCTAGAGATGGTAGTGAAAAGTCTATTCTTCCTTCTTTGTCTCTTTCCTAATCAGGTGCAGGCCATGGGTAAAATGGCCTGCAGGGAGGTAGAAAAGAGGTGTGTGTGCATGGTGGGGGAGTCATTGCTGTTGTTGGTGGTGGTGGTCCTTTATTTTTGAAGAGAAATGGTGACGTTACATGATGATATCTTGACTTGTGCATGAATTGGATTTAAGTGAGGCAGAGCTACATAAAGTTGTCAGTCTCACTTTCTCCCCCAGGGTCATCAAAGTCCAGTGACAAGGCATAAGTCAAGACAACTGGCAATGACCGATGACCAATGGCTGGGGATGCAGTGGGCGACCTTAGCGTTTCTAAATTAAAATCTTTCTTAGGCCTCAGTTTGTCTGAGGCAACACCCATTCAATGACTAAGGGCTAGGTAAGAATTGAGACAAATATAGCCTAATTTACCATCACAAAAATATTCATCTGGGCCACACAAACCATCAAAGATCATTCTGACCTGAGCGGCCTCTGACCTATCCAAAGGAGCTCTTTCAGCTAAGTGTCTTTTTACAATTGAAGAAATGACTCCATGGGAACTGAGAGGTTTTATTTTATTTTGTTTAATTTTATTTTATTTTTAATTGGGTCTATCTGCTCGTTCACTGCTACCCACAGAAAGCTAAAATGTTGCTTTTGTCTTTTTTTAAAAAAAATTTGTCTGTAGCGGATAGAGAGCCAGACTTAAATTCAGGAAGAGCTGAGTACAAGTCTCACCTCTGACATATACTGACTATGTGACCTGGCAAGTCCTTTAATTTCTTAACAAGCTGGACAGCTCTCTAAGACTATCATTTGTAGAGAAGATGCTGGCTTGCATTGGTAGAGGGAGTTTCATATACCAGTGAAATCGCAGATCCAGTCCCTATCCCATCTGTAACTAAATGCCAACTGCATATTTGTGTCTGTAAGATTGTTATTGTTTAGTCACTTCAATTGTGTCCAACTCTTTGTGACTGTATTTGGGGTTTTCTTGGCAAAGATACTGGAGTGGTTCACCATTTCCTTCTCCAGCTCATTTTACAGATGAGGAAACTGAGGCAAACAGGGCTAAATGACTTGTCCAGGGTCATACATCAAGTAAGTGTCTTAAGCCAGATTTGAACTCAGAAAGATGAATTTTTCAGACTCCAGGCCTGGCACTCTAGCCACTGCACCGCTTAGCTGCCCGTAAGATTAGCAGGAGTCTCCATTAGTTCCGTGATCTGAGGGCTGACTCATTGAATGGGACTTGTGTTTCAGATTTGGCGCAAATATGATGCTGATAGCAGTGGGTTTATCTCAGCTGGGGAGCTCCAGGTAAGTTTCATCGAATGCCTTCTGAGCCTCTGCTGAAGGTTTGGATAATGTATGGATTTGTCTGTTGCTGGAAATTTGAGTCTAAATGTGTTGTGGATTTAACTTTCTGGAGTGGGGCCAAGAACTTCAGGCTTAATTTTATCACCAGTTCTCCAAGCTGTCTTCAAAAATTCAGGTAGTGTTAACTCTCACAACCATACAGACAATGAGGGAGGAATATCCTCATTTGAATTATTCATTCATTCACTCATTCATTAAACAAGGGCTATTAAACACCTGCTATGTGCCAGGCACTGTGGCAGGTGTTGGTAATTCAAAGACAAAATGAGGAACATGAGGAAAATGAGTCCCTGCTCTCTATTTCTCTCTATACTTCTCTTGGACAGAGACTGCTGTGTAAAGAGTATTGGATTAGGAGGAGGAAAAGTTGGATTCAAATCCTGGCTATACTATTTTCTAACATTGGGCAAAGTCACTTAACCTCTCTGTAGTTCAGATTCTTCACTTACAAAATGGAGATAATATCACTTATACTCCCTGCATCCTGGGGTAGTTGTGGAGAAAAGCCCTTTTTAGATCTCAAAATGTTATATAAATGTGAGATCATATGAAACTGTAATCATGAATGAATGAATGAATGAAATGAATGAATGATGAATGAATGAATAGCAAGTATTAGTCACTTACTATGTGCCAAGCATTGTCCAAGTACTGGTATACAAATACAAAAGCTCTCAAGAAACTTAATTTTTAAGGGGGAAAGAGTATTCATAGGGGAATCATAGCCAGAGAAGGGCCCTTTTTTTTCTGGGACATTAGTGGGAGGATGAGTGGGGCCCAAGGGAAGCCCATCCAAGAACAATGGCAGGCTAGATTTGATCTTGGTTCCTAATTCCAGAACTGGAGGAGGAGCAGAGGAAAGGGTAAGCGGACTTTGGCAAGGAGGTTGGCCAGGAAACTTAGAAGGAGTGAGCCAAAGAGGAGGGAGTGAAAAGCAAAGTATTCTTAGGGAGGCCATCACCAATCAGAAGGCAGGACCCCAGGGTAGAAGCTCCTATAATAAAGGGACATATGAAGAAAAACATCCAGAGAAAAAACTGATAAATAGAAGTATGCATAGAATAATTTTACATACACACACACACATATACACTTATTTGTGTCTAATGGTAGCCATCTCTAGGGTGGGTGGGGAAATAAATGTACATGATAATTCTATCGTATATTTAAAAGGAATAGCAAGCTGTATATAATAGATTTGCAGTTTCATGTGCAATCATCTTTTTTATTATACTAGGTCATGGAAAAGCTTGTTTTATTCCACAAATTAAAAATAAGATAATTTTTTTAAAAAGTGGCATTTGCCTTGTCTTTATGTCTTTTGTAAAGTAGTGATTCTTTTCTTGGTACCTACAGAATTTTCTTCGAGATCTCTTCCTACATCACAAAAAAACCATTCCTGAGACCAAACTGGGTGAATATACTGATGCCATGGTAAGTGAGCTCTCAGATATGCTTCACAATAGCAGGAAGAATAACTATTCTTGACTTCCTTAGATGACCACTCAAAACCTATGCAACCATATGTGAAAGCTGATAACTTTTTGGGGGGAAGCCTAGAAGGTCCCATTCATATTAGGTTAAATAACCACAATATTAACCTAAATCTCTTGGAAGTCTGATTCCTCCTTGATACTCTCTCTTCCATGCCTATGACATGATAACATAATAGTCCTCCTCCAATCCATCTGATCTCTCCTTTGTATCCTTTGCCTTTTTCTTCCTTTTGATACCATAATATAGTTATTCCTCAGAGTTCTGTTCTTGGCCCTCTTCTCTTCTCATTTAGAAATTTCATTCATTCTTGTGATTTCAGCTATCATTCCCATGAAGGTAACTCTTAAATCTCTATACCCATTCTCCTCCCAGAGTTCTAGCCATGCATTTCCCTTTGCCTATTGGATGTCCCCTCTGGAGTTTCTGCTGATACCTCAAACTCACTGTGGTACAGTAGCAAAAACAGAGTTTGGAAACAGACGTATGTCCAAATCCCAGCTCTGCTCTTTGCTATCTGTGTGATTTGGGGCAAGTCATTGGCCTCCTGGAGCCACACTTTCCTCATCTATAAAATGAAGGTTTAGGAGTAGATTATCTTTGAGGTCCTTTCCAACATTAAATATGGAATCCAATGTCCAGAACTAGACTAACTTTTCCCTCCAAAACCTGTTCTTTCCCCTGATTTTTTTCTTCCCTTTCTGTGAATGACTTCGCCATCATCTTGGAAACCACAGAGTAATTTTGACCACTCTCTCTTTGTTGACCACCACACCTAGTTAGTTGCCATATTCTGTCCATTCAAGCTTTGCAATTCTCTTGTTTGGGTGGGGTTTTTTTTTGAGGCAATCGAGGTTAAGTGACTTGCCCAGGGTCTCACAGCTAGTAAGTGTCAAGTGTCTGAAGCTGGATTTGAACTCAGGTCCTCCTGACTCCGAGGTCGGTGCTCTATCCACTACATCACCTAGCTGCCCCTTTGCAATGTCTCTTGCCACTACCTTAATGCAGATCCTCAGGATCTCTCAGTTGGACTAATATATTGCTAACTACATTTTTTCAATCTTTATATCCCCAGCTCCTAGAACAATGATGTACTTATAGGAGGTACCCAGGAAATATTTGTTAATTAAATTGATTTTGTACATCTGATGCTATAGACAAAATATGGGCTGCTTGTGTTTTTTCTAACCTACTCAATATTTTCCTGATTCCTGATTCCATATATTTGCTCAAACTGGGATGCCCTACCCACCATCACTACCCATTCTTTAAGGCCTACACCAATGCTAGTTACTCCATGAAATCTTTCCTGATCCTCCTCCTCCTCCCAATCAGCCAGAAGTCACTTCTCATAATGTGTTTTTCAACATTCTTAATATATTCTATGTTACATTATGATTATGTTTTATCCCCCTTCCCCTCTAGACAGCAAGCTGTTGGTTTATTTCTGTCTGAATGAGCACTGCTTTGAAGTCAGAGGACTGAGATTTCCTGAATGATCTTAGACAAGTCACTTACTCACCCCAGGCCTCAGTTTCCTCATTTGCAAAATGAGGGGTTGAATTAGATGGCTGATCTGATTCTCTCTCAGTGTCTGTCTAATATACTACCTAGCTGAATTTTCATCATGAATTGGTATATAATAACCTAATTTTAAATGAAGGTTTTTTTTAATGTCTTCCTGGTTGGCAGCAGTGGTGGTAGTTGTAAAAATCATGATGTAGTTATTAGGCAGTCCTCCATCCATTGACCTGAAAGTGATTTTGGCACCTTCTAAATTTGGGGACTTGGGACAAAGCCCTAGTTGTACCATTATGGTAATGGCTCTGTATCCCTAGCACCTAGTACAGTGCCATTTTACATATTAGAATCTTCATAAGTGTTCATTTAATTGAATTCAATTATATAGAATACCAAATTATTCATCTCATTTTATAGATGACAGTAACTAAGGAGCTTAGAGGTTAAGTGGTTTATGGTTGCCTAAAAAGTTGAAACTAAGATTTCTTGACTCTCATACTTATTTACTATGGCTTTGGGAAAGTCACTTTTGTCTTGTGTCTGTTTCTGTATCAACAAAAATGCTGGGGTTTGCTCTAGATCACACTAAAGTATATTCCAACTCTGGAATTCTAATTCCAAGCCATCCAACCAAGCACTTTTATCCTTTCCTAGCTCAACTGCTGGTCAAAAGGAGCATGTGTATGAGCTCAGGCAGGAAATTATCTTAGATGGTATTCATTTGTTAATAGCATAAAGGATAAAATCAGATCCTAGGATAGAGCTCAGTTATGGTAATCATTGCTCTGTTGATCTCTTTTAATTGCTAGTAAAGCAATGATAGAAACCCTGAGCAAATATATGTTCAGCAATAAAGGGCAGAATAGGAAATCCCCCAGGAGCAGGAAACAGCTTGTTAGCTACAGAGAAATCTCTAGGTCCCTTGTTGATTCAAGTTTCTCTGAAACCCTTCAACAGAAAAATAATTTGAAAAATGAATTAAAATTTAAACTGACTGAGGGGCACCATCTAACATTCTAGGAAGTTTTTTTAATTGAGTAATTGTTGACATTGCTTTATGATGATGTCGGCACTGAATTGTATGATCTCAATTTCATTAATTGATTAAATAGGCTGAGCCAAATGTAATACTGGCTTTCAGAATCTCTAGATTGCAGAGAGCACTTCCCTTGAAAACAGTTGACTTTAAGGTTTTTATTCACATCAATGTCAAGCTTCCTTGAAAGATAATTCAACATCTTTAACAAGATGGCTGGTCAAGGTTGGCCCTTGGCCAAATTATGATAGAGATCAAGCTTATCTCTTTCACCTTCTTACCTCCTACTGTGTGCCAGGCCTCATACCTGTCTCTTTTTGCCGTCCTCTGACCCTACCCTGCCTGAAGATATCTGGTGAATTTCCATTGCCTAACAACGTACTTCACATAGATCTAACTTCTCCAGAGTTGTGCTCCACAAACAAGCATTTTCCTTCCTTCATTCTAGCATTGAAGCATTATTCCCTCATTGCCCTGAGGTTTGTTAGCTCTAAAAAGAGGAGAGTAATCAGATTTTTAAAAACTTACGCAAAGTATTAATAATATGATTTGTCATACGTATCTCCAATGCATGAAAATTTTAGAAGAGAATAAAATGAGCTATTTTCTAATAAGGGAATTTGAACATTATCTTAAGCAGGTGGAGGACATGTATAATATATATGTTACATGATACAATATATCATATGTAATACTTGTATATAATATTTACACATACTTATGTGTATATATAAATTTGTATGTGTGTGCTGGGGTGGTAGAAGGCTTCTCAGGGAGCCATGAATCATATTTGATTTTTATTTTGTTTATACCTAAAATCAGTGGTAGAAATTGGGACGGAGGAAAGGAGGAAAAATACAGCCCTAGTACCTCCTGGGTCTACCAATATGGAGATAATTTCTATAGTAAATAAACTGGGATGGTAGCACTCTGGTTTTCCAGAATAGTTTTCCCTTCTGTCCCTGAATATAGCGATCACTTATTGGTACTAAATTCTTTGAAATAATCTTCATGCTAGAAGTTTTCACTTGGTAGTTAGTGACAAAACAAAAAAGCTGACATCCTCTGGATTATGTCAGTTTATTCTGCACATGAGTAACAGAGGTTACTGAGGGTCCCATTTCTGGCAAGTATGGAGAGCAGGGAGAAATTGCTTGGACCTGAATGGAGTGTATAATGTTTGTTTTTATGCTACAGCCAAGCGACTTGCTAAGCTCGGGGCAGAATAGTCTCCTTCCAATAAGAAAAGGAAGATTAGGTCAAGGAATACCTCTCTACTCTCCAAGTTACTGGGAAGAATATCTTTTTTTTTTTCTGGGGGAGAAGGGAAGAGGCTTGAATGGGACAATAAGGAAGAAAAAGGACCTGAAGAGGAAGAAGAAAATCTTGATCTATGTCAAGAATTTGGAAGATGGGGGCAGTTAGGTGGCACAGTGGATAAAGCCCCTGCCTTGCAGTCAGGAGGATCTGAGTTCAAATTTGACCTCGGACACTTGACACTTACTAGCTGTGTGACCCTGAGCAAGCCACTTAACCCTGATTGCCTCACCAAAAAAAAAAATTGAAAGATGAAAGAATGCAACACCCAGGAGAAGAAGAAGTAGGACTACTGAATACTTAGGAGTAAGTAAGAGCTAAGAAGTTCTTCTCATAACAAAAATAACTATTTGTCCTCTCTGTGGAAGGGGCAACTGCTTGAAATGCAATAATCCCCAAAAGGAGTGACATGCATCTTGCAGTCCTCTCAAATTATCATACCATGTCTGTCTTCCTATTCACAGCCAAACTCTTAGAAAAAGCTATCTACCCTTGTTGCTTCCATTTCCTCAGATCTCTCACATTTGAACCTCTTGAAATCTGGCTTGTGATCCCACCCCTTGAATGATTGTTGCTCCAAGGTCCCTAATGATCTCTTAGTTGCTGAATCCCATGACATTTCTCAGTCCTCGTCCATCTTGAACCCTCTGCAGCATTGGCCACTGTTGACCAAACTCTCTTTTTGTGTCATCTCTCCTCCCAACTTTTTCAGGCTAATTTCATACTACTCCTTATCACGAACTGAAGGATCCAATCCAATTGCTCTACTCTTCCCTGTGCATGACATTTTACATCCTATCTCTGTCTTTTGCACAGGCTGACCCTCATGCCTAGAATGTTTATCCTCTTCACCTTTGCTTCTTATGATCACTAGCATGCTTCAAGACCACCTCCTATAGAAAACTCTTTTGAATTCCTCCCATTTATTAGTATCCTCTCCCATACATTTAACAACATTCATCCCACAAATTTTATCACTTTTATTAACTAACTAGTGTATGCAGGGCATTATGTCAAGGGCTTAAGGAGAACCAACATCTAGATAAGAGACAGTCCCTGCCTCAGA